TTTTCCCTATATGCAGTCCACATATCAAATCAAAGCATATTCTTAGTTCTTAATGTCTTGCCGTGTGGTGAATCTACAGTCCCTGCTTTCAAGAAGACTTTCTTGGCTGCTTGGATACTGCCAGGTGACCATCATGTTGAGACCGGTGAATTCGGTCCCCTTTGGCGGGCACTTGAGGCCATCGGTGTTGAGCGGACGCAAAGCAAGTGATGGACGGGAGGAACTGCTGTAGTGACCCCCAAAACAGATAAGACAAAATTTAGGAAAGGATATCGTGATTATCTCAAACATGTAACGTATTAATTGTATGTTTGCAAACCTCGGCTACCTCTTTTGGGGACCACTGCAATAGATTGATATGATACTCACTATGCAAGGTAAGGACAGCTTAAGGATGCCTAAGTGCCTAAGCTAAAATTTGCTGTGGAAAAGCTACTCCCCACAGTTTCCTTGTTTCAGGGCTGTCATGAGAAGTCCTCAAGTTGATGGTGTTTATTCGCTTGCGGGATTAGTACGTGATAAAAACTGTTTGGAGTTAAGTGGCCAGAAAGAATGGTAGGGTGTTGAGTCATATCAAAAACCATCATTTTTCTGCAGAACATTGGAGAGTATGAACCAACAAGACAGTGGTTGAAGGAAAGTCCACCCGAGGATTCGTGCTTGGAATAAGATCTGTCATTGGTTGGGAATGGTTCGGATGCCTAGTCCCACTCCAGAATTCACCCCACCAACCCTCCGGAGTTGAAGGAATCGATTGAAGAACACATTGGTTCCACCTTCTAGAGAACTTATTCCTTTTAATGCACGTCCTTTGTTCTTGTGTTCGAACTCTGAGTTTGAATGGACGATCTATATATGGGACCCTTTGGACATCAGACCCACGACGATCACCGATCACCGCGTCTCGACGGCCTCGCCTCACGACTCGCAGGATCACCGCCCCGAGTGGCTTCACCGTCCCGACGGCCTGCAAAATGACGCTGACGCTGTGCAGCAGCTGGCGACGGGTTGCGGCGGGGAAGCGAGGGGAACAAATCTGCAAGCATCAGAGGTCGGGGGAGAATGTCGGCAAACTGAAGGCCTTGACGGATGGAAGGCTTCACAGTTGGAAACAATGTGGAGCCAATCGCATTGCCCATATCCGAAAGACTTAACAAACAAGGAAACATCGGCAGATGGACGGGGCAAGTTTCTTGTTCTTCAGGAGGTTGCTGGGATTTGCCTGAGTTTTGCCCACAAGTTAATGAATGACATTCCAACACTTAAACCATCTTAAACCAACATGCAAGTACCACGATTTTGGTCGCACCGAGATCAACCCGCGTATGATGCCACCAAGATCAACTGGACTCCAGCTTCGGGGTTCGAGCAGGTGAGCAAAGTCCCCGGGGAAACCGACCGGATGGCCTTCGACATCTGGCTGCCTTCAATCCTTTCTCTCCCCCGCCAGGATCAGGATTTAGATCAACATCATCAGAGAGAGTTGTTGAAAGAAACATGCTCTGATATTTCCTCGGGTCTTTGGATTTTGCTGGGCGCAAAAGTGCAAGAATGCCAGAGCTCAGACCACCCGCTTTTCCCTCTACAGATCCACATAGCTAGGTGGAGACCTGGTGGGGTCGCAGGTGGCTTTTGTCCAAGTTGGATTGGATCGACTGGTCCTTGGTGGAAAATGACACCAAACATATCCAAACATGGTTCTGGCAAGGGCATTGGACAACTCTTCAACTCCGGCGTCTGCGGCCTTACTCACGCCTCTCCTAGGAAAGTGCATGAGACGGACATGTGCCTTGGCCGCAGCCAGGCACGTGGGTCTCGCCGTGTCGGGAGATCTCGAATGGAGCTCCGCAATCACGCGAGGTTCTTTTTGTATCTGCCGATGCTTCGTATAGCATGTTAGAAAATGTTAGAAATAAGAAGAGTATAGGTACGGTATAGGTGCAACTAGCAAATATGTGTGAAACCCAGAAAGCTAGTGCTAGTGTGTGTGTTGTCGATTGAAAGCAGACGTAAGCTAATCCAAAACTCGGTCATCTTGGTCTATCATTGGTGTTCGACTTCCTTCATTCTTCTCTCCCACGGTGATTCATACAGCCATATACAACCGTTTTATGCCGGTTTTGCTGGTAGACACATCAACATATGATACCCCGCCAAGCCCAAGGCCCCAAACACAGCCAAGGCCCAACATCTCAGCATACCCGGCGGGCACTCCACGTGTCCGGTGCCCCAAAACGGCTGAGCCATCCGAAGAGGCTGGGGCAAGCTGCTTAAGCCCTCTTGGGGTGGAGGACAACTCTTGTCTTGGGTGGGGTAACGAATGGTAACGATTTGGGTTGTGCATGGTGGGGCGATAGATTTGCCCAAAAGTGATCTATATAGCCTCCTCGAAAGGGTGTTTGCATGTGTTTGCTATACAGTGATCTATATACATATTTGAATGATATCGAGGTCACCGTCATAGCCTGGCTCCACAAACATCCGCAGCGAGAAACCAAAAAATCCTAGGTGCCTCCGAAAACTACCCTCCCTCCAACAAACATTGAAGTAGACAATCACCTGTTTGTAGATTAACATTGTCTTTCCAGGGACCATGCCATCCACGTAACCATCATTGTTTTAGGGATGAAGGTACTCGTAGTTCATGACAAATGGAGTTCAGCCGAGAGACTCGGGTGCCATGTGTCTTTTGCGATTGATGGTGTGCTTTGCTCAGTCTCAAGGCTTCGGCTGTTCGTGACAACACCATTTCTTTGAAATGAGGTGAAGTTTGGAGAGTGTATTTCTTTGAATCAGAAGGATCTGACCCAGGCATACCACCAACTACATGGCCCCTATACTACATGGCATATCGAATTATTCCTGGGTATGTCAAGATAGGGGGGGTCTAAGGCAGGGACCCTCCAACTACTTTGGGCTGAACATTCGGCTCCACAACTGGGGATGCCTTCGGCTCCACTGCTTCGTTCGTTCTTCACTCTGTGGGCCCTCGCTGAGTTCCAAGTCTTGCAGTGGGCGGAGTTCTTGTGCGACGCCCAGTCGACACGTGGTATGCGCACTGGTGTTTTGGTTCCCTCAATCCGACAGACTCCCTGAATTCATCATGGAGATGGAACATTGGGCGACCAAGAGGCCCCGCCACGGCGATCATTTTCCGGATACAAAACAGGTGCTTGTCCACTTCCAAGATGATTTCAGGGAGTGTGGTGGCAGATCGATTGTCCTACATGCTATTTTTCGAGGTTGCAACTCACTTGCACGCCAGCAGCTCCCCGCTTTAGTGTTCAGCATCATGTTCAAAGCCTGACGAGGGAGGAAGGAGAGTGATCGCCGCTGTTTCAGAGTAGATGGCACAACACATGGTAGATGTTCCTAGAACGTGGGTTTGAGAACCATGTCTTGGAATTTGGCGATCTACTTGGACACCACTAATCATAAGAGTGCCCAGATTGCCCATCCTAACATTGGCAGCCCGAAACGCATGATTCCCTAGCCGCAAATACATGCAAATGCATCTTGAATCGCCTGGATGATGTCGATGATATGTTGAATCACATGGCTTGTATTCGCCCATCAGCACACCAGAGGCAACAAAAATGCCCAAGTTTGTGGCATACCTCGTGGTGCTGCAGTTTCTTTGACTTCAGGATTCACTGCGTTCACCCATCGATTCACCCATCATTCACCCATCATAGTTAGATACTGCAACATACTCAACTTCGACGATCCATGTATCCATGTAAGATCATGTAAATATAGTTTTTTCAGGATGTTGCTTCAATGCACCCAACACATGTTCGATATGTTTTCGATCTTTTTCGCATCCTGTCTTCGCATCTTCCCACATGGCCGTAGGGACAGCGACCTCACCTGTGAGGGTGATCAGACGCCCTCGAGCCGTGGGAGGCGGCCTGCGAAGACGGCATTGGAGTCAAAAGCAAAGACGCCTTGAAAGCATGTAGGTTATTATAATAATGTAGGTTGATGTTGACCATGTGACAGGGGTCTTGAGTTTTGTCGTTTCAAGTCATTTCATTTGAGCGTTTACCAGAACAACATGCGTCATATGCTGTTGATATCTTCTGATGTGTTTTAGTTATTTATATATATATTATTTTAATTGTATTTTATTGTCATAGTCATACCTTGATATTTGCAAACGTGCCTTGTGGTGCTTTGTAGTTCAAGCTGTGTGCGCAGTGGCATGTGTCGGTGGGGATACACGGATAGGACTGAGTTCCTCACTGACTCGGAAGCTCCAAAGTACGGTCGACATGACGGCTTTATCTATTACATAGGTGTAACCGAGCGCACCCCAGTGACCACAGCGTTTCAATGTGGCTTGACGTTCACCTGATGTGACTTAACCCTCCTTGAATGTGACTTACAAAAACCATTTCGCAGTGTTTCCAACCAGGTCGATGTGACTTGGTGACTTGACACATGTTGAGGAGACTGAAATACAACTCGTCCGGTTGTAGTAGGTCTTGTTCATATTTGGAAGGTCAAACATGTCAGGGTGGCAGGAATCCATATCGATGAGTGCAGTGGAGTCTTAGGGATGCTGCAGTGTAGGGGGAAAGATCTGTCTTTCTTGGTTTTGGAGTTCAGCTTGGTGAATTATAGAAAACATATTTAAAAAAAAAAACTGTTGTTTGTGTTCGAGAAGGTATACGGTAATTATATGAGACATTGATAGTAGCCAAGTGCACCCTTTTGGTGAGAGTATAGCCCATGCCCATTCTTTTGGTCGCAAGCTCGGTGCGATGTGGTCGCAATCGCCCTCAAAGCGACGTGGCACAACGGCTAGTGCCACGGCTCATTCTGGACATCGGCATGAGGGAAGTGCCTTTGTCTCAAACTAAGCGGGGTATATAGGTCCTAGATGCTTCAGAATACTGCAGATAACACAGTGATATCACTTAATTAGCAGTAACATTTATATCTCTGAGCCATTTCCTGGACGATACGATTCTTTGGCTTTCCAGCTGCTTTGGCAGGTTGCAGCTGTTGCGAAATAGCAAGTACATGCAAGGGCAGACCCTCTACGTGATGACGCTGCTGGTCCGGGACACCCAAAACGCTGCTGGTTTGCGGATGCGGAGGGTCCCTAGTTCCGCTGTGAGTCGCCATGTTTCCGGGTCCTGCAGGACAACACCAGAAGCTTCCGGTGCTGTTTGGGTCACGATTGCCTGCGATGTGGAATCTGCACTGAATCCAGATGGGTGTGTCTGAGAATTCACCCTTCTGAACCCTCCAAAAGCCATTGAATTGAGATCAGTGAGATCAGACAGACCACCGACATCTACGTACCAACTCTCCTTGGGTTCGCCAGGTGTCCAAGGAAAATCGACCACCCGACTCTCGCCCCCCCCGATGTTTCTGGTGTGCTTTGCCAGCACCGCGCGCTTGGCGCGCAGGTGGTGAACCCACAGACCACCTCTGCCGTGCCCGAAGACTGGCATGTGCAGTCCTATTCAGATTTGCGCCTCGGCGGTGGTTCGCACAAGGAGATGATTTGTTCGGGAACGGCAAGCAAATTTGGAACGACCCGATGGTCTCCGAACACCCTTGGCGATACCTAGTATGAGGGATCTCTAGTTTGGATCACCCACCACCCAAAAGATGTTATTTTCCCATCAAGACGGAGGTCAAAAGGGCTTACCTAGGTCTACGTATCGATACACTGAGCAACATCCAAACCCATTGCCAGTTGCGAACGCCCGAGGTCGGGACTGTTTGGAAGAGGGAACAAAAAAGTATCAAAGAGTACCAGAACCAGGGACAATCTAATTACAGGAAATCTCATAATTAGTGTTGGGTGTGAAAACCAGTCAGGGTTTCCTGCACATTTTCCCTCAAACCATTCATGGACAGAGTAAGACCCTGGGTGTATGCATTGGTTCTTATATATAATATAACGTTAGGAAGGCTACTGGCTAGACCATATGATGGCTGCATGAAGCCTCAAAAACGTTAGATGTTTAGTTCGGTTCGTCTCACCCAGATCATGTGGGCATGACATGGTTAGATTTGCCTGGTCTATTTGGATGTCCCTATTTGGAGTTAAACCCCGTTTGAGATCTAAGCGCCTGAACCTGCTTAATTAAGTGATTGTGGATGCACATAGGAGAGGATTCTGTTCAGAATTTGGGTGTTTACATAGGAGAGGATTCTGTCCGTTTCCCTTCCTCTTTTGATGGTCCTGCCAGACCTTTTCTCATGCATTCTATAGATTCTATTCTATAGATCTATTTACGCATTCTGCTCTGGCTCTCCTGGTGCCTGGAATTTGAATATGATAATCTGAGAAGACGAGAATCTGTGCATGGCGCCTTGTTGGCCCCTACAAAGAAACTCCAAATATCTAAGGCCGCAGCCCGTGCATGTCTTTTGCTGTTGGTAGCGTCCTTTTGCACTTGATAAAGCTTTGCCCTTCCAAGAAGCAGGGTCACAGTTTATGAAGTAGAGTTAGATGTGTGACACATGTTCTTTTAGTGGTTATTGATGCAATTGTTATTTGTTTTCATGTTCTTTGACGTCGACAAAGCCATTCTGCATGTCACGACACAAGTGCTGCGCCGGAAGAACGGCATGATAATGCTGGCCTTCCCAGAGCACAATCACACATGTGTTCATGGCAGGAAAATCCCCTGTGTTCAAGCAATTGTTCGAAAAAGAATTCGACATGCGCTGCGTGCGCCCAGGACTGTGAACAACATTATTGATGAGAGCTACATCCCGGGGTTCGTGGTAAACACCGCCGTGCAGGACCCGGGACGTTCGTGCAAGAGGTTGAACAGACTGTGGGGACGAAGCCTGACAGTGAACTTGGGCTTCATGCAACGAATTTTGCAAGGGGAGGTGGTGTGTTCTTTTTTGCGAAGTGTCCACGTGTGTTTCAGGTGTGGGCCAAAGTCAAACTAGGAGCAGCCATGTGACTATGTATTACAATATTATGTGATATATGACATTTCATTACGTCCATTTCAACATCAGTTTCAATGATATTATACTATAATTATGCGTGTATATATATATATATTTACATACTTAGGGTATCTTAGGGTGCCAGTAACCCCTGGTGAAGTTGAAAGATAGAGCTGCTAGTCCCTGGGTCCTATTTTCTCAAGACATCCATACAGGATCCCTTGACTCCGCCTTTTTCAGCCTCTCTTTGGACCGCGGTCCTGGCCAGTCCTTCGCCTATTTGAAGCCGGAATCGACCAACGCCTTGGTGAAGCAGAGGTGGGAACCACTGACGATCATTGGGGCAACAGGTGGTTTCGGGAGGCTTCGGTGTCAGGGGAGTTCGGGGTTTGGGGGGTGCCTATGCGTGCGTGATTTTTGTGGAAGGAAACACATGGAAAAGCATGTATAGGCCCAAAGAATCCCAAAGGAGTCTTTGACATTCTTGGGGCATTTTGGGATGGCTTTAAATCCTGACAAATAATGATATCAATCGATCCGGGTTTCGAGGATCCTAAGGTTTTGAGACCTTCGTTATTAACATGCTTGGTCTTTGGAGGCCCCGCTCAAAAAACAACAAAACATGGGCAGATTCTCATGCGACTGTACAGTCGGCAGTCTACAGTCTACAGCTTCCAACGGGGCAACCCCAAAAGCAAGTTGCTTCTCTTCTTTGAGATGTTCTTGCAAGCAAGCAATAATTATAGAATATTATAGGGTGCATGTTTTTGAGCTCGGAGGCTCATTTAAAGAACAGTTACCCATTCGAATGTGTTTCACGAGTTTTTCTGTAGTGCATTCTGCCCTGGGCCTGCTAAAAGCCTACATAGCTACATCTTAAATCTCCACCATTACTGATGGTTCAGCCAGCCAGATGGGTCGAACAGGCTGGACTTTAACATGTCCTTCCCAGACACCGTGGCCCGAAGCTTCAGACCACGGGGCGGAGGGCGGACTCGCCTCGCCTTGCCTTGCCGTGCTTCTTCTTCGATTCTTGTGCAGATAACTGTGAAGCCGATGGGTACCCATCAACGTGGAAAACTGTGAAGCCGTCCGGAAAAGTGGAAAACTTTGTGGAAACGTATGAGGAATGTATCCATCAAGGGAAAGAGAGACCTGTCAGTGTCAGAGGGCTTGGTTTGGTAATGATAATGTATTCCTGAATTAAGCTTCCCAAAAAGGGAGACTTACAGTATAACTCATTACACGGCACGTATTTGAGGCATAGTGATGAATATTAAATATCACCACATTAGACACACCAGTTTCAAAAACCCCTTGCTCCCCAGCAGTAACATCCAAATTTAAAGACTTCAGAGTCTTGACCCGCTAGAGATGCAGCAATCATTGATCATCAGCTCATTGCTTTACGCCTTTTCCCTTCTCTTCTCTTCCTTCATGGCGCCGGTCTCACGCCACCGAAACCCCTCCTTCAACGCCCGATCACTGTCACCCCCCGAGGCCATTGGAGATCGGATCCAAATCGTCGCGCCGGTGTCCTACTTGTTCAGCGATCCCGGCGATCGCCGCTCGGCAGCGGAGCGGGAGCGGAGCACGCGCCGCGGCGCTGCCTTGGTCGGGGGAAGTCTGGAGGGGTCAGAGCTCGTCCATCGCCAGGAGTTCATTTCCTGATGTCCTTGTTGTAAACGAAAGGATCCCATTGAAATAGATCTGCAGTGCAAGCATGTGTCTTCAAAGCTGTTGTATAGGGTTTCCATGAGTTTCCATTATCTCCTGTTGACCCTCCCATTCCTTTTCAGATTGGTGAACATATCGAGAAGCCACGCATTCGTTTAACGTCAGAACTGGAGAGATCTGAATTAAGACCAACGTCTGAAGTTGTTTTCGGAGCATGGGAGTTTGGGTCTACAGTGACTAAAGTTGACGCGTCAAATGATAAGATCGAACAGGACAGCCTAATCACACCCAAACATCACCAAGCCTTGGCAATGTTGAGAAAGCCACCACAAAGGAGAACCCGGGGAGAGATGCTGGGAGATGGAGTCTGAAACCATCGAAGGGATGGACCAGTTCTCGCAGTGTGCTTTCTTTCGGATCCTATTTGTGTTGTGTGTGTGTGTTGGAAGCAGACCACCAACTGGAAGCGGCTCAGAGTCGACTCATGTCATTTGATGTCCATGCTTCCAGAGGCTGATATCCAGCCAAAACAGATACTGCATCCATCAGATGAGGTGCACGTTTGCTCAGTTGCAGGCTACAGACTGGCATGGCCGCATGACCGATTCACATCACAGTTCAAGAAGATGTCAGTTGCGCACAGCAGGAAGTGCCAAAACGCTATTATGTTTTTGTGGGATACCCTCTTGTTTCCTTCTCCCCAAAACCCAAACCTCGCACACCGGTCTCCACCTGCCCAAGGATTCCATGGGTTTTCCTAAAGCCATGCTATCCACGTACTTAATCATGACGCTTCATGACAGTCATTAGTAGCATGGCTTTGCAGGCTAGTTCATGACAGTTCTGGAGTGCAGCCAAGAGTTCATCCGTTCAGGGGTTTTCGATCATCCTTTCAGGTCGCTCCGACTCGTCCGACTCGGTCGGATCGCACCTCTGAGGGGCTCGCCCTCGTCGTGCCCAGCCTCGCCCAGGCCGCTGTCCTCAGTACGTCTTCTTGGACGGTGCGATGCGGAAGACCATCCCCACTTGCAGTGCTCAGCTCGGAAGATGGCCGAAGGGCCGAAGGATGGGCACACCATGAGAGCGGAAAAGGAGGGACGAGAGGAGAGAAGGCTGAGGAGGCTGTGATTCAAGAAAGGACCATGTTCCTAGCGGAATGTCGATTGTAATGACGGGTACGCTTTCAAGCATAGCAGAGGCTACGAAGACTGATAGTGCATGGTGGGCCTCTCCCTTTCTGGAGAGGGTGTCCGACCACTTGTGGAAAGATGGATCATAGTCATAGTCATAGTCATACTATTTCCTGCTGAGTTGAAAGAGTAGCACGATGTCAGTCGTTTCCACATTCTCGACACACTTTGAGGTGCCAACATCATCAGTTGGCATTTGATGGATGAGTCGGTCCCTCAGTTGGTGAGGCCTAGTTCAAGTTGGTGTGGTACTAAAAACTGCCTTTCAGAAGGCGAAGCGTCATCACAGGCATAGCAAGGTCATGGTCTGAGGCATAGCATGAATGTTTGCACGGTCAGACCGTGCACATGACATGTGTTTGCCAAAGGTGCCGTGTTTGCCACAGAAAGTGATGACTGACTCCTCCAAAGGTCCAAGAGATATTGAACTGAACCATTTGCAGCGTCCAAGAGTCCCCAGTCTTTGTAGCTAAAACCATTTGAGTGAGTCTCAAAACAAGGCGACCCCTCAGCCAAGGGGCTGTAGATGGGTTTTCCATCGGTATCCCTTCTAAGCTTTTCTACGCGAGGTCCATCCCTGCGATGAGCTCTGTGCGCTTCATGGTGCAAGTGCAGTGGCTTGTCCCGCATTTGATGGTGACTGAATGGAGGGGGCATGGCAGTGCCGAAACTTTGGGGGGGCGAAGAT